GCTCGCCGCGGAGCAGCAGCGACGGCCAAAGCGCGGCAAGGGATCGGGCAGGGGATTAAAAATTAGGTCGGTCAAAAGGCTTCATCTTGCGGACCAAGAGTCTTCCGATGGCTCCCAGGAGCGAAGGGGACTGGTCTGCAGAGAGATTATTTTTTGAAAACGGGCAATAAAGCTATTGGATTTCCTTGCTGGGAGAAAGGTGTATCTGGAATTTTGTTCTAAGCACGAACTGTCTTTGCAAACAGAAGTGTTCTTTGCAAACACAGCTTCCCGTTTTCCTCGGTCTGGCATGGGGGCTGGGCGTGCCTCTTGCAGTTTTACAACGTGTTTAGTGAGCAAAGAAGTTACCCAAAATTTATTCTTCAACTTTTTGTGAACTTGGAGCCAGTCCCATATCTCCGAGTTGCTAAGTAACTCGCGCACACAAAACAATATGCCTCTGCGAAGGAAGCTGCAAGCGGCGCTTCTTATAGGCTGGTTATATCATCTCTGATTAATCAACGCTGGACGTGGGACAACAAAATTCTGTCACTTCCAGAAGCCACTTCGCTAATGAACGTGAGTTGACGTCAAGGGAAGGAGGGAATGAGGTAATGAAGGAAGGAAAGAAGCCTATCCAGAGAGATTAGCTTGCAGAATAATTGGCGGGGAGAGCTCCTGCGCTGAAGTGACAGAGATTGCTCGCCTCGCAGGGAAATCTATAAATATGATTTGTAGGGAGGCTTCGGAAGGGCAGCGCTGAGCCGTCGCGGGCAGCCGGCGCTCGAGGAGCGCGGCCGACCCTCTCCCCAGCCCCGCTGGGCCTCGCAGCTCCCTCCGCGCCGCCCCGGCGCTCCCGCGTGTGCGCCGGGCCTGGCCCCGCCTCGAGCGCGGCCCCTGCGCGGTGTCGGTGGAAATGGCCTCTGCGCGCAGGATGGCATCTCCCCCCCCTCTCCGCCCCGATTTGCTCTTTGGACACGAGCTCTGAAGGATTCAAGACTCAATAGAAACGAGGAAGGCTATGGCTTCGCCCTCGAGCAGGAGGCTTCTCTCTCTAGGAGAGCTGGTGCAAAAGCTTCTGTTCAAGCTCCTCGTTCATTTCCCTGACGAGCAGCTTTGTTTCTTGCAGAGGGGTGCGGAAAGCGTGATCTGAAGGATACCTTCCTCTTGTCCTTCCGCTGGTGTAATCGTTCGCACTTGCGCTAATTATATTTATTGGAGCCAGCCCACCCTGAGATAGGTGATTCCGATAGGAAACCGCTACTTGTGCCGTGAGCACAGGAGAGGATCTCTCCTCCAGCTTTCCAGCCCATGCCTCTACGAAGGAAGTCATCGGGGGAAGGGGTGCAAGCACTGCGTGGCATGGCCGTAAAAGGGCCACCCCCGGCCCGGTGCCTTGGGACTCAGAGCCCGGCACGAATGGGGAGCTGGGATCCCGCCGGATTGCGCTGCTCTGCAGAACTGATTTCTTCCTCACGTTAGCCTTGATCCTATTCTATTCCCTGGGAGGTTTACAACTTACTTCATTAGGATAAGGATTAAGCCCTTAAACCTCACTGGAGCCAATATTGATGCGTGGGGGTATAAATCAGGGCAGAACTTGTTCCAGGGCAAAGGAGAGCTCCTACTTGTACAAAGCCTGCTCCAAGCAGGCTAAACAGGTGGGTGAGCTCCAGTCTTGCCTCCCCTTGTCCCCACGTCCAAATGTTCAAAGGCATCTGGGGGAAAAAAAAATCCTTCCTGATTTTCCTACTGCACGAGTGTTTTTCCTAGGGAGTGTAATCAAGGAAAGTAGGTTACCATGCAGAAAAGGCCGTGACTCATTAGCCACATTTGCAATGGTCTGAAAAACGACCGTACTTGTTGAAAACCGATGTGGTGGAATCTTTATTATTATTATTACTGTTATTATTTTAAAGACGATATTGGTTCCGTACCCCCTCTACCAAGATTTATTTTGCTTTTCGGAGTCCAAGGCAAGTCTGCCAGCTCTGTTTTGACAACTGCTGGCTCAGCTGCCGCGTCTCAGCGATGGGGAAGGAAATGATGGCCATAAGGTTGTCCGCCGGCCATGCCCGGTGCGCCTCTCTGCGCGCTTGGCCGCTGTTCAGAGCGCGCACCGAGCACGCAGGGGTGAAAACGGTCGTGGTGCTGACCTCCGGCATCACTGGGATGCTCAAATCAAGCGCATGGACCCTCGGCGCGTCTGCAGCTCCCTCCCTCTCCCCTGCTGCGGGACTGAGCGGAAAAGGTGCTGACGGAGCCTTGTCATCTCGACCGTGGTCTTTGGTCCCTCGCCCACCCACCCCAGCCGAGGCGGGCCTTGCACCCGCTCGCTGGGTCTCGTTGGGCTCCATCTCTTCCTTTTCACCGCCTCGGAGCTCTGCAGAGTGCAAATGAGCCCAAAAAGGTTATTCTTCCCCAAGGACAGACAGAGCAAGAAAAACAGCTGCCAGGAGGTGCAGAAACCTCGTCGAAGTGATGCTCGAGTTTCCCATTTCTTGTCATCTCAATAGCTGCGTGCAAGAGACCATCACGAAGCCGCTGCCGACTTTACCCTCTCTGGCGCATGTGGCCGGTGTTGGCCGCTCCAGGCCTCGAGAAAACGCCCCGCGTACTGTCGCGCCGCCCGGCGCTGGCGGCCCCCGGGAGACCCGGCTCCTCCCGACGCAGGG